AAGTTAAATTAATTTCTTAGAATAAAGCTTCAATAATTTTAAAATAGCAGTAAATACAGTAAACAGAACAGTAAGAAATACATGTAATACTGGAAAATATTTTAGAAATAAATTATTCATTATATGCGGGGATTTTCGTTTGAATCTCTCCCTGATAAAAAAAGTCATAGAAAAATTATGATTGAACAAACTATTGAATCTTGTATTTGATGGATCTGATTCTAAGTTTAAAAACAAAGAATTAATATTTGTTTTACCAATTTTTAGAACTATTCTAGAAGTTTAGAAAGAAGAAAGAAAAACCTAAAATGGTTTCAGAAATCAAATATTAAATGATTTATGTTCTGGAATATTTTCTAACATCTGTGATTTTTTGATAAATAGTGTTATACTATCATTGCATAATAAGTACACTTGTTGTATAAACGATTAAATTCTTAAAAAATTGACTAGAAAAACCTAAATGTACTGAGATAATGCAACTCATTAACGAGTTGATAAATTGGACGATGATATTTACATAAATTTCCTAGTGCAAATGTTGCACAGTATTCGTAAAGGAAAAGCACCTCATAAACTATGCCTAAAAACTGGTACAATAATGACGTTACTTAGAAATTTAAGTGTATCAGATAAGCCATGTAAAAAAACACGATTAAATATGGTATATAATAAAAGGGCCATAAATAACTAAACAAGAATTTGGAAATATAGTCTTCACTCTAAAAATAACTCTTAACACAGAAAACATCTCAATATTACCTTTTATTTAGAAATATAAGTAATTTACAATCATTATGACATTTTCTATGACAATAAATAAATTTGAAGGTTACAGTTTTGGAAATGTAGATTTATATTCGAGAAAATAATTTCTTCTCATAGTAAATTATACGTGGCTTTATCGAGATACAAAAATAGAAATTATTGATTTTTCCGAGTAGTAAGACAAAAAAATACGGAAAAAGGAGATGTTTAGAAAGAACTTTTTTCTGAATAAATTAATTGTATTCGATGATTTGTAGAAATCAATCGACAAAAATTATGGTAAAAAATTAANAATTACATTTCTTTATTTAAAAATGAAAATACTTTTATTGAAAAAAAATCTTAGAAATGTTTTATATTATAAACACCTAATACATAAATACATTAAGGAAACTGTTAAAAATGTCATCTATTTCTTACAGTTTAACTTTAATTGTTCAAGTTCAAACTGAGAATAAATTCATGTTTGCTCAGTCATTCACCCTTTTTATGCATGGTTCTAAAAAGTTACAAAATCAAATTGGTTCAGAACACTCACATGAATGTTGAATTTGAGGCATTCCCAAAATTTTGTTGATTTAAAGATGAAAATTCTTTTATTGTACGAAAAATCTTAGCAATGTGTCATTTAATGAATACCTAATTTATAAACACAATGAGAAAACTGTTGAGAATATTATCTATTTCTTACGGTTCAATTTTAATTTTTAAAATTTTAACTCATTTTACATTTGTTGTCATATAATATGATGCCTTGGTATATGGATTATAAAAAAATTACTCTACCATTGTTTTAAAACATGTGATTCACTTTACTATTCTTAATATTTGAAGTTGCAGTTGTAGAAATAAGTTTTTCTTGTAAGAGTAAATGATTCATCAATAAGTTTGAAGTTCTTGGAGCATTTAACTATTTATGTGTTATTATTACTATAAGCAATATAACATTAAGGGTGGCTTAGAAGAGTGGAGGGGAGCTTAAAAAAAATGTAATTAAATATAACTTACTTAAAAACTGATAAAATTGTACCTCATTCAATGGGTGGTTGACGGGCGGCTGAGGAGGGTAGTGAGGGAGTGTTTTGATGACCCTCATAGATTATTGTATAATATAGGAAGTAATGCTGATGGCACATGATATTCTCGTATAATGGTAAAGTGTACAAAAAAAAGAGACAGAGGTAAAAAGGTGTAGTGCTAGTGTGTGAGGTGAGGAAGCAAAGGTAATACTCTGAAGTGAGTAATTATTGATTTTCTTTAACCTTCTTGCTCTCTTAGAGTTTTTATGAAGCTTTTTTGTAACGTATCAAATACGTTTTCTGAAAACCTTGTAGAAAAAAAAGTAATATAAATGTATGAATTGCAAGCAAATGAATAAACAGCGTAATGTCAGCCAACCAGATAAATACTACCCCTGTTGGGTGAAAATCCAGACTGGGTCAAAAAAAAATTTCTTTCTATAGATCTAAAGCCTGACAAAAAACATGATTATATAAGGACCAAGAAGATGTTAGTAATAGGTCTAAAAAAATGGTAAAAATGGCCAAAACAAGTTTTTCTATTCTATCAGAAAAGCTGTAACTTGGACAAAAAAATGTTCCACATAAAAAGGATGCACAATTATAAGATAAACAAAATGATCCCCGGTGAACTCTAATCAGTCTTTTTAAAAAGTGCCGATATCGCCTTGGTTTTTGGTATTTCGTAACATGCGTTCTTTTCAACATTTTTTTCAAATTTCAACATAATAAGGGTTTTGTGATTTTTAACAACCTTACTAAATTTCAAGTTGATCAGATACAAACTTTTTGCAAGCCGTCAAATAAACTAAAAGAAACATCTTTCCAAAAAACAGCCCTGAAAAAGTTGTTAGACCACGTAAAACCGTTATTGGAAATGACTTCTCCTGATTAGATGTTAGTCAACCATTGGTTAAATTTTTTTATCCCTTACTTTTTCGTAAGTATCCTAGAAGTCTATTGGAAAATAATGTTTTTTTACGAAGTAACAGCTGGGAGCAAGAGGGAGTGGCCTAAATCGGTGACGTGGCGCTGGCTTGGGCACGCTCCCGATTCAGGCCACTCCCTCTTTCTCACACTACTGTTGACCCGTTTTCGAGCAAGTTGCTTTAAACTGACGTAGTCAGCAAAATTATCGACATCATCTGATCTAAGCATCGTAAATTAACAATTTTTGTAATATGGGGTAGCTAGTGATAATATCAAGATTGCACGTATCAGCAACATTTTAGTAATAAATAAAGCTGCTGCAAATATAGTATTGTACTCTGTACCTTTTTTTACCTTTCCGCTTAAAGATGTCTTCAGATACTTACATCGTCTGTAATATACCAGAAGATGACAAGAACAATTAAAATATGCAAGAGTAATTTACTGCAATTATAAAAATTAAAAAATTTACTTATAATAACTAAAAATAATTTTCAAACTTCATCTCATGGTTTTTTCTGCATTTCGTACAAGGTAGTACTTCTATAATGTTTGTATTAATACTTCAATCACTATGAATATTCTGTACATAAAGCTGCAGAGTTTAATTAGTGTAATACTAAATTTGCCGTAGCTATATATTTATTACTAGAATGTTGCTGATGCCTACAGTCTGAAGATAATCACGAGCTATCCCATATAAAACAAATTGTCAATTTCCGACGCTTAGTTCAAAAGATATCAATAATTTTGCGAACCACGTCAGTTGGAAGCAACTCACTCAAAAACGCGTTGGTGGTACTACGCGCAAGAGGGCGAGACCTATAATTGGCGGTGTCCCCAAGCCAGCTACTAGGGCTGCGCCACTGCTGATACTTTGTGAAAAAACACTATTTTCCGATAGATTTTTAGAATACTTATGAAAAAGTTAGGGATACAAAAATTCAACCAGTGGTACATTAACATCTTATTTAGAGAAGACGTTCTTGAAAATGGTTTTATCTGGTCTAACAACTTTTTTAAAGCGAGTTTTTGGAAGGACCATTTTTTAATTTACTTGAAGGTTTACAAGCAGAGTCAAATTCACATTTGTTATGAAAAAATTGTAACGTGTGTCTACGGACCAACAACTGCACTGATTCATGCTCGTCACCATCATCTATTTATTTTACAGGTAGACACACCGTTACTTACTTTAAGTAATTTTAGTTATCCATAGTTAACCATTTCTTGACCACTAGTTTTATTAATTAAATATTTTAACTTATGATCCTACTTTTTTCATGACAACTTTTTTTTAATTTCTCTTACTTTGCCTCGTTAACACGGCTTTAATATTAACTAAACGTTTGTTCTTACTGTCTCTGGACTGGTATAATTCATTTTACTTCTAGTGTCTTAGGCTTTGTAGTTTATCGCTGCATTATATTGCAAGACTGACACCTTCATTTTTGATAAGCTCAAAATATTGAATGAAGTGGTTTTAAAAGCAGTAGTTCTCGTAAAATTCTTGTATTGTCAGCTACTTTAATATTGCTGCTTTTTTAATGGTCTTTTAAAGCACACTTACTTTACAAGTGTTGCCTCATATCTTTTAATCTTTTACAGTCTATAATCTGCTGTAGCAGTCTATATTATTCTGCAAGTCTGCAACAAAATAATGTTTGCTTATAATTTTTAATCATTTTTGTCCCACTAAGATCACAAGACGCCATTTTTACGAAGTCTTAGCATTAACTACAAAGAATTTTCTGACCTCACTCGCAGAAATTTTTTCAAATCAAGTTATTTCCACAAATTAATTTATTTACTTAAGGGAGCTTGTAATCTAGATTATACAAATGGATGTAAGTTAGAAAGTGTAACACATGATTTTATGTAGAAAAACATAATCCAAGCTAGTGCAGAATCTTGTTGCACATAACTGTATAAAAAAACATGTTTAACGATTGCAAGGCTAACTTAACAAAGAGTCTATGCATTTAAACACAAAAATACGAACACACTTGCATATACCTTACAACATTATGTTAATGTTTAAAAAGAAAAAAAATCAAATTTTTGCATTTGTGAATGGTGCAGTTATGCCAAAGGCTAGCTTATACATACATAACTATGATTGTTATTACTTTAATTAATAGCGTATTTGAAGTGACGTATAAATAACTAACAAGAGCTAGCTTAATTTTCCATAAACTGTAGTTTACTTTCTTATTTTACTTTTTTATAACTCAGCAAGTACATTGCATAGTTTAGAGCCAATTTTTTTTTTCTCTATTTCAGATCATATCCGAGAATTCAACTGTGGATTGCTATACTATAGAACACTCTATTTAGATAGCCAACGAGATTCCTTATATGTTGGAGCAATGTAAGTACTGACCTGCGTATATGTAATTTTGGATACGGCTAAGCAATAAAACGCATTAAATGATTTTTTAGAAGAAACCTATTTCACCTAATTACGCATCCTTTTTGATTAAGTACTTATACGAAATAATAGTTACGATAACTGTAGCAACCTGACACTTGACTTTGCCCGATTCATAACCACAACAAGGATTACTTTACATTGATAAGGTGATTTTAGATAAGGTTCTCATTATTATAAGAATCATAGTTAGACAAACATTCAGTTATTAGCATAAAAAATACCTTGATTATTTCAAGACTAGGGTACACATAAGCAACCTTCAGACATAACACACACACACACACACACACAAAGTGGAGCCTTACCTTCATGCGTGCTTTGAGCTTTAACTTCCTTACAATAATAACATTATTTGTTTGTGTAAAAAGGTATTTAGTAAACAAAAAAACGTATGTTAAGGTGGCTCATAACGAAATAAAAACGCCTCAAGTATCAACGAATTTTGGAGGAATTATACTTCAATATGAACCGAATCAGCTCTAAATATTTGAAGCTGTATTGCCAGGCAACTTTTTTAAAACAAATCTCTTAGGAATTATTGTTTAACTTGGGCTCTTGTGGAAGACCATGCAATATTAATTAATAATGTGATAATATTTTCCAAAATATACCTTAACTCTTTGTATGAAAATAGGAATTGAAACAAGAAATCACAAGGTTCTCAATGATATCGAAAAAATTTGGGTGTGCCAGGTAATATTTTGGTACTAGTTATTAAAAAGGTGATTATGTATAAAAAGACAGTGGTTACTTGTGCTATGCCAGCGTTATGACCGGAAGTTTTTTGGTCTGATGGTCTGATGTTACGCAATTAGACAGTACACGTGTGATGAGCCACTTTAAAATATTTATGAGATTTTTAACCTCAACATTCTCGAAATTAATTTACTAATACATTAGTGCGTTTTGAAATCACAAAAATGATATAAGGAACGTCGAAAATCATGTATACTCCAGGTATTATTGAATTATAGATAAATAAAAATATATCTGACTAACAAATAAAGCAAGTTCTCAAAAAACGTTAGAATCACTAACTGCGAAAAATACTAAACAGATTTTGCTAAGATTTTGCATACTGATTTTTGATACTTTTTAGATAGTTTTTGCATAGTTTTTATGTTGCAAAATCAATAATAATAGCAATAAGTAAGCTTAAAGATTTACAAATATACTCTTTCTTTTTACTTTAGTTTAGTTGGATCCACTAGGTACCGTTAAAGTGAAATTGAATCTACCTCCAATCAAAGTCAGTATGTCTAGTTCAAGTATGCCTTAGAAGATTGTCGATTATCATAGTTGTTTATCAGGAGTACATCAAGAATAAAGTTTTTAGTCACACAGCTGGGTATCCTGTCACTCTTCTTCAATGGGCAAGTGACTTACGTAAAATTCCATCCTGAACTGCCAAGATAATGAAGTACTACGCAGAAATAGATATTTTCAATGTTAGCGTTCCTGGCATAATACCAGAAGACGACCGGCCAGAGTACAATCTGTTTCAATACTTCAGAGTTTCGTGGCTCTTCATCCAACCAACTTGGTACTCCTAGAGCACCTTTCGCTACAACAGCAAGCTACGGTAAATAACCTTGAGGAGTTTGGGCAGCTACATTGGCCAGAAATTAAGTTAGCTTTCTCTTTAGTTCTTCATCCCAATAGTATACTCACAGAAGAGGTATTTTCCCGGTCCACTTTCCTGACCAACAGTGAGCATGTGATAATCCACAGAATCACTCGAAGACGCAGTATTTTTAACCAGTGGCGTAGCGCTCTTTAGCATACTCTCCTTATGCAGAGACTCCGAGAGCAAGAATCAAGCTACCCCAGGTCCAGATACCCAAGCTTGGAAATCCCCAACAACTGAGTCAAGTCAAGCGCCAGATATGCACTATTCACAGAATGTCAGATCTAGTTTGTCAAATCATCCATCCAAGGCTGACCGTTGAGCACAACGAAAAACAACTAAACGTACCATCACTAGCTCTTTTCTGGGCCATCATTAATCTTTACGTTCACTAAACTATTATCAATTTCATCGATTCTTTTAGGGCTATCCAATGTTGAACTACCTTGCCAATAGTTACATGTTTCAGAAATAGTATTTTGGACGAATATCTTAAAGCAAATCCTGACAAAAGATTTGTCCACTAAAAGCCTATATAAAGCCAGCCAATACTAAACCAAGTCAGTCATTCACTGGCATACGTCGAGATCGAAGCTGTTTGTTATGATGTTGGGAACCTTGGCCATATGGAAGTTGTATGGATCTGCTGAGACATGGTGATAAAAGTATTACCAAACTGCTTGCCCCAAGTTGAAGTAAGAGGCCAAACACAACTTATTGCTGTTGCAAGAATTTTGCTATAGTTGTACTTACTAGATATTCAGATTTTGGATGGATAACAAAAACGTAAGACTATTTCTAAGTAAAGTAGTTGATTTTACTTAAGTACAAGATGAAAAATTATCTGTAAGGCTGCATGTTGGTGATTATCGATTATCAGTAGGTATATGAGAATTTACTTCACAAATAAATCTTCTCCAATCTATACATTGAACAATAAAACAGTTTAGTTAGAGATAGAAAGTAATTATATAATCTTAAAACCAGGCGTTGAAAACTACATTGTATTTCAACATGTGAACATGTTACCGAACAAACGGGTTCCAATGGAATATATATTCCCTGTGTATAAAGACGGTCGGGAATGAGGACCCATCGGCCAGAAATAAGACGTGCACTCCTATTTTCGCTAGCTGAAAAAAAGTCGGCTTTTTCAGGCCGACATGCATACACACAGGTCTCACACCCATCTAAACTTATGCACCATGTTCACATAACCAGTAGAAAATTGGTGGTAAATATAAATATTAAAACAAGTAAAATAAATAGAAAGAGCAAACGTGTATGCACATTCCAAGTGTAGTATTATGCTTATTCCTACTGCAATATCGTAGCATAGTGTGCTACTTTCGTACAGTGTCAACGTATACAATGTATACATGCACGTATGTATGTGAGTGTAACTTGCTTGCAGAATTATGGATGCAACCATGAAAGTTTGCATGTATGGTGAGTGTATGTGTGTACTTTTTAATTTTACTGTGCAAGTGTGTACATGTTTACCTTTACGCATGTTTATAAAACATAGTAGTTAATATAAATACTATATACACTAGTTAATATTATTATCCTAATAAAGTACATCAACAAACAATTTTTGCATGTATAGCATATCAATTCAGATAGCCAGTGTTGATTTAACGGGTTTTCATCATACTGCAAAACCTCCAAATATTACAAAATACGCCACATCTTTAGGAAGAAACAAGATAGAGCAAAAATAACAAGTTTTACAGGCATTCTACAGGCAAAGAAACATTATGGCACACAAAAAGAGAGGTGATAAGTTATGTGAAGATATAACCACAAATTTTAGTATTTTTAATATTTTTCCATAAAGTCAAGGGGGAAAGTTTTTGGAAAAATTATAGCTCTTCGCAAAATTATTACAAACATGTATTATATAGGTAAATATCATTTTTTGCCCAACAATAACCTTAAAAATTATTTTAAAAAATTGAAGCCTTTCATACATGAGAAATGTACAGGAAAAAAATAAATTTACCGCTGTAACTGCAAAAAAAGAGTACATATTGAACTCACATGTACTTACAAACCTTGTATTTTACAGTATGCATGTCATTTCTACATACATACGAGAACTTCATTCTTACCGGAGTCCCACACCCTGGTTTTTCTTAATTTGTGGGTCAGCCAAAGGGCTATTAAAGCGCTAGCGGGAGCTCTTTTGGGGCATCTAGTTGCATTTGGAGCTTATGAAAAATGCCTGACTCATTTAACTGTTTATTATAGTGAGATATTGATTTATTTTTATATGTATGTAACAGTCTTCTAACTACTTCGAAGATGAGAAAAGTTTAAAAAATTTAAAAATAAGGCTTCAACCATCGCCAGAATTTGCTTAAAGCCCGTATGTGAAATTTCTTGCACAGATTTGTAGGTTTCAAGTTTCTTAATCGATTTTCCATGTAATTTCTTCCCAAATGCATTTTAATGCATTGTACGAGGTTTTCTCTATCTCATTTAAATAACATTAGAAATATAGTTTTTTACCAATAATTTGAAAAATTCGGGGTGAACCCTGTGTCAAAAAAAAAAAATTTATTTTAGAAGTGTTACATTCAAACTTTTATAAGTAAAGAGCAAAACTCGTAGATTCATTCTACTAACAAATAAATTTAATTTTTGTTCGTCAGAAACCAGCCGTTGGCCCAAAGCCCTTATTTGCTTTTACTTACAATATACTTTTCTTTTAAATCGTTGACTCGGCGTTGTGATGTTAGGTTTCACCGAGTGATATGTATGGAGTGGTGTATGCTGAGCTGGCGTTGACTTACTGCTTCAGTTTATGTCTTATGTAATGCAGTATTAGCGTATCTTCTTCGTTTCTTTGTTCCACGTCCTTGTAAAGGTCTTTGCCATACGTTGTCTGTTTAATTTTTCCTTAATATTCAATTTAATAATCAAATAAGAATTATGTTTCTATGAATTAGAATTTCGAATTTTGAAATATTTCATATAATTTAGTAGTTTGGATATTTTTGAATTAAGAAAGTAAATTTAATCAACAAACAAGTTATCTCTTATCTGATTATTTATTAAGTTTAGAAAAGCCGAAAATAGTTGATGTTACAAATACTATAAATTATAAAGCTCAAATTCGCATTAACAATGATTACCTAATTTATAGTTTTCTTAACTTAACTTTACTTCTACGATCGTTGGTTAGCCGCTGCTTGCGCACGCGCAGTCGCAAGATCTTACAAGGTTGACCGCAACGATAATCCTAAGCCTAGATGAAAGTACTCGTGGTGATGAAAACAATTAAACTGCTGCTTTTAACGTCAGA